CTTGTAGAATTAAGAACTTAAAACTTGTATACTATTAAAATATGGATTATTAGCTAATATTTTATGCTATTCTAATTGTAGTAATTTAATAAAATTTTGAATGCAAGACACTAAAACCTTGTGTCATGCACAATAAAAGATACCCGAGGCGATAGTGTTAAATAAGAATTATTTAGTGCATTACTACCATTAGTATAAAAAACCTAGGGTTAAGTTTTATCAACAATCGACAACAAGAAAAAAGAAGATTGGGTAAGTACTTTATTTCTTGTTTTCATGTTTATTCTTTATCTATTATTATAAAAGTAACTAAAATGTAAAAATCTTTTTAGTTAGTTAGATTAGATTAGGTAAAATAAATAATAATAATGTAATAAAAATATTTCAAGAGGCTCACGAGAGCAGCTTATAGTACCTCCTGGTTAATGTTCTAGTTTGAATGTATATTTTTTATTTATTGTTGTATGTAAAAGTAACAAAAATGTAAGAATTACAAACTTGTTAGGTTAGATAAGAAAATATAAATAAAGAAGCATTAAATAAAAAATCTTCTTGGCAAAACGTGAGCTACACATTCACCTGTTTCTTACAGCTTGTTATGCAAGCTTAGCAGTTAGACATGGTTCAAAGAATCATAAAACAATTAAATAAAAAACAGATGTAAACTGTTATGAAACTGAGGCTGTTTCAGTCTGCAGTCATGCTGGGAGAAAAAAAAAGTGGTACTTTAGATTTATTTCATATTATTTTTTGTTGGTTACAAGATTGGTCAAATTGACTTAGCCTGAATAGTGTTAGGGTAGAGAAAATAACAGATAAAATATAGTTTTACTAGAAAAACTTGATATTTGTTTAGGAAGTTCTAGTGGTTATGCCACAGAAATATGAGAAATGTAAGATAAAAATAAGTATTTTTATTCTTAACATGAAAATCACCTTGCACTCAGACAAGTCAGAGCTGAGTCACACTGACTCTATACATTCACTGACAAATCATTAGTAAAAATACTTAATTAAAATATTGATATTTTGTATACAAGAGACTTGAATTGTTTACTTAATGTTTGCCAAATTTCTTGAAGATATGCTTACTATTTTAAAAGTTGCATATACTTTCATGGCTACTTATTGATTACATGATGGTTGCAAGGTTGGTCAAAATTAACCAGCTCTCCAAAGCACTAGCTGTTGAGAAAAGACAAATATTTGTGCATGTACAGTATGTTTTATTAGCATGGAGACAACATATAGCAAATTAATCATAAACTATACATACATCAAATTGATTGTTGGTCCACTACATTGTTGTTTAAAGGGCCTTAATGATGTGTCATACAAAAGTATTTAAAGAAACATACCATCAATATTACAATTAATCCCATTAACTCTATGCCTACAAGTGGATCCAAGTGCACATGTCACAACATTTTTTTTTTTACTGAAGAGTTTCAATTTCTTAATTTTAAAAAGAAATATTTAAATAAATTCTTAATCTTCACTTCTCTGTGTCAGGTGATACATATAGCACACTGAACTCTTCCATGTGTATATACATACACAAACAAAAGTACCCATCCACAGTGATGGGAAAAGTTTAAGTTAATGTATTGATTTAAATTATTTCATAGACTTTAAATAAGTTAATTGTGTTGCACTCTTGGTTTCACCCAGAGTCAAATATTTAAGTTGCTTATACTACCCACTGTGAAAAGTAATTATTGAGCATTTCAGTTGTGCTAAGAGCTGCTCAACAATAACATACGGTAAATCTACATTTTTATTCTTTAAGTTATGTCACATTTTTGAAATTTGAATTATAGTGTTATTAAATCCCAAGAGTTTAGTGTAGAGCTAGACCACCGTGACCTGTTGAGTCAACCACTATTCAGAGGTTATGAAGAATTAAAGCTAATTTCAATATTGCACCAAATTGAAAGTTTATTTTGAGATAATTTAATTAAATATTTCAATCCAATCGTGTTATTCATAATTCAAGAAAAGATATTTGATTGTTTATCGGGAGTAAAAGGAAAGACTGTTTCATTTTTCAAAAAAGTGAATTAATTAGTTTTGTAAAGAGCGCGAATGGCAGTGTGAATGATTTTTTGACTGAGAAAATAAGCAAACAAGCAAACAATCTCAGAGTTTTAGTAGTATACAGATAGATTCTTCAAGATCTTGTTTTTGTCATCTTATGTCTTTTAATGAAGATGGGAACATTTACAGGAAAATAATATAATAGCCAATGCTCAGTGAGAGGTTTTCATTTATAAAATTTTGTTGTTGTCTCGACTTGATTTTTATTTTATTACCTCATCTCCATAGTTACTATTTGCAAATAGTCAATAAT